AAGGAAGATATATATGACAATGTGGTTATGTTTGTTGAATTATAGATATTATTATATTATGAAATGTGGCCGCCCCACTTATTGCAAAAAAATCATCATATTCGAACGAAAAATTCAGCAAAAGAGAAGTTAAATAGAAATGAGGGCAAAACGAGTGCGGTCTCATACAGGTGAAGCGTACCCTAAGAAAGTTAGCTCAAATGAAGTCCAAGTGAGGTTTCATCCCAAAATTAATTGGTGATGGGAGAAGTAGCTCACTAGCTTGTAAACTAGGCTCATTTACCGTATCAAATCAATGTGGGACAACTCACAAGTGATATTCCAACAATTTAAAAAATCTAACAGATACTTCAATGAGAAGTAACAATAAAATACTCTGTTGGAATAAAATTTTTATTGGAAGATAACAACTATTTTTCCAAAGGTTTATTATTGTAGGACTTTTTTTTAAATATGTAATTTTCATTGGATTTTTATTCCTGCCAATGATTCTCACCGTTCGAAAAATCACAGTTTGAATTATGAATCCAACAAAAAATTTCGTTAGATTTTTTTCTAATTGAAGATATAGTATATATTGTAATATCTATTTCACTTGAAAGTATTGTCTGAATCTTTCGTTGTAATTTGATCATTTTATTGTAGGGAGAAAGAGTGTAGATTATTAACTGTTGGAATTGAAGTTGAACACTTTACTAACGAAAGTAAAAGGATTTCGTTGAAGGATTTATTAGACCATGTACAATGGTTGTCTTAATAAGCAATTGCTTAGAATATTTTAGTATTATTTTGGTGGGACCCTGTGCCATTCAATCCCACAATGGTGAATTTAAATTCTGGTTGAAGCAATTTTGGATTTCTCATCCTCTCTCTCATGTCTTGCGCCATTTTCTAGTTCATTGGCCCACAAATTCTGATTGCTTATTCAAGCAATTGCTTAACCTAAGCAATTGCTTGTCTTCTCTTCACAATGGAAAATTGCTTAAATAGCAATTGCTTATTTTTAAGCAATCAGTTAAGCAACCCCATTGTAGATGGTCTTAGAGGGTTCTGTTTCATTTATTACTCAAAAGGGTCACAGACTGGCTGTCAAAATTTTGAGTTCAAACGCACACTTACAAATTTTTTGAAGATTTAATTTAACTCTTCGAGAATCAGAGATAAAGCTGTGAGCTGTCAAAATGTTGTGCTCAGCTTG